TCCGGCCCGCTGCTCAGAGGCTCTTCCTCCCCTGCAGGAGGACGTTTCTACTCTTCACAGGGTCACCCCCTCAGGGGAGCTCTCCTCTCGCCCTCAGCACGGCAGGTGTCCCAGGCCACATCCCGAGCATCCCCATTAGGACTGTGTCTGCCCAGGTCTGGTAGTCAGATCAGCAGCCTCAGAGCCAGGGATTATGCCCAGGTCACACTGCAAACCTACTGCCCGCCTCACAGACCCCAGCCAGCAGGTCACCTGGAAGTCACAGCAAGTGCCCCACCCAATCCAGAAGTCTCTTCATTTGCCAGCACCACTGATGACTGATTTCCAACTTTTGGTCAGTTTCGCACAAAACAGCACCCTCTACTGTGAAGCGGGTGGTTTTTGTTTCTGCGCCTCATCCTTACTGGAAACGTTAAGGGAAACCAAAAGGCCTTTTCTCAACCCTTTTCTGATGACACCCTCCCAGCCACAATACTCGTATGCTCAAGAGCTTTGGATCCACATGATTTTCTTTCCCTTACGCTAAGTGGCTCAAAACACTGCGGGGTTATTTCTCCTTTGAGGGTATTAGCACTCAGTTTCTCAGCTTTAATCTGTTTTTATCTCTCTCTTCAGTGTCCCTAGCAGTTGCCACCTCTTACTCCCTTCAGCAGCCTCCCTCCCAACATCTAGTCTAGGAAATCAGCTGTGATGAGGGGCCCGGGGGCAGTCACAGAAGATGCAACTAAGGCAGAGAGAGGCTACATAATTTGCCCAAGAAGATCAGCTTCAACCCCCAACAGTGTGTGTCACTTCCCTCTGTTTAACCCTTATGCTAAGCACGTTAACATTTTGTAGATTATGTTTATAAACAGATGAGGTACCAAAATACATACAAGGACACACATCAACTCTAAGATGTTCATTAACTCCACTATTTTGTTTCTATTTATTTTATTTCTATTAAAAAATTAAGAACCCCTGCAGTCAATATAGCAAAATGTTACTGGGTTTTAAATCCAGAATATAGAGGGGTTATGTCATTACTCATTCTTATATGTATGTTCAGAAGACAAAATGATTTGAAAGTCTCTCTCCCCGCCCCCTACTCACTACTGGCTCTCACCAGAGCTCCCAGACCACACATCTAACAGCCTTTCACTTTACCCACAGCTGAACTCATCAGTTTTCCCCCAGAACTCCCTCTGCTGCTTTCCCTCCTCAGAACACAGCAGGACCATTATTTAACTCATTAATCCACCCAGAAACCTGGGCCTTACTCCATCCTACCTTCACAGAAATCATTGATCCTTTCCTCTTTACCATCTAAACATGCCTTCAATCTGTTCGCTTTTACCCACTGACCATCCCATCGATCAAGTGGAAGCCAACAACACTGCCCACCTGGACTCATGAGTCTCCCAAGTGGCCCCACAGCCACTCTCCCCTACTTGAGACAAATGGGATTGTGTCACTCCTGCGCTTTTTGGACTCTTTTCAGACCCACTGTTCTAGAAGAAACTTCAATTTCTTCACCTGGTGAAGGTCTTTGCCATGAAACTGTCAGCTCAGGAAGGGCAGGACATACCCTCGTCCCTCAACCCCGCACTCTGGCAGAGCATCAGCTTGGGAGGACCTGCTGAGCTGCACCAGCCTGTATTCTAAACCTGGTCTTGTGTTCTTAGCAAACTACATCACTTATCCATACAAATCCAAGGTAGATTAGAAAGATTTTAGTTGTTGAGCTAGACTATTGATTTGCGGATTTTGCACTGGCAACCTGCTAGTATATTTTCTAATGATTGTGTCTTCTTAAAACCACACCCAGATTAAAGGAGTATTTGTGGAATGCCTTCAGGGTAAAAGGGACTGTACTTTTACAGATTTTATGTTTTATAATATGAACAACCTGGACAGGGTCACAAATGGAACCGCCTCACAAGTGACAGAAGACAGGTGAGATGCATATAGCAACAGGTCACAAAGATGGTAA